AAAAAAAAAAAAAAAAAAAAAAAAAGAAAAAACAACAACAACAACTAAGGTCATGGAGCTAAGAAGTTGTGTTAGTAAATTAATATATTTTATATTAGTTGACTGTGCTAATCATTATTCAAAATATGCACTTGATACACGACACTGAATTGGATATCCATTCAAGATTGCCTCAAAAAAATGGACTAATCTTCTACAGATATATAGAGTGAGAAACTAAAATGGAACAATTTGGTAATTTCAGTGACCAGGAACATTAATTTTTATTTTTTGCTTGTTTTAACAAGTATTCCGACATAATACTAGAAAACACTAAGGCGCAATAAATATTTTGAGAAAGCCTAGGACTTTTATATGCTGGTTAGATCTTATTTTCACTTCCAACGATTATCTACGTTTGGCTTGTAGCAGAACAATCTGTATATTGCGTAGCAATCTTTTTTTTATATAGAAGAAACACCCTGGAAGGGTAGGGGATTAGGCCGGACCCCCAACCTGTATATATCGCGTAGCAATCTTATATAAAAGTAAGTGGACATATGTAACCGATCCTGATAACAGCATGTTCGAGTCAGGTATTTGTGTGGCATGACATGAAAGCTGAAAGCTGAAGAACTAAAACAATTATGCAGGAATACCTGAACCAATATTGACATGACATCATTTGGTGAAGGAAATACTGCTGTTATTGTCGCTGCTTCTTTTCGTACAGTATCTGCAAGACAGGCGTAGTAAGCACAGAAACATTTTTTAGCCCCCAGCTTGCATTTTTATATCAAGTTACTCAAACCTGTAATCTCTTTGTATAATGAGGAAAGCCCACGAGCAACATTGCTAGGGCTAAGCTGAGAACCGGGGTCACCAAGAACTAATTTAACATCTTCATTCATGACCTCCAAATCAAACATTGGACGTAAACCTACATAATGTTGCATAGCACTGGTACCCCTGTTGAACTGAGATCCACAAATAATATGAGAAGGGAAGGTAGAAAATGATTCTTAACAACAAAAAAAATATAACAATGAAACAACTTCATTACATATGTTCGCAACCCAGTTCGAATACGTTGAGAAATATTCTGGTATGGAAGTTTCACAAACACAAAGTCAGAAACTACAGATACATGTAGAGGCAATCCACTGCCCCATACCACTTTCCAACAAGAATTTTCAAAAATGGTAGAGGTAAACCAACAAATGATCTTTTATATGTATATTGTGACAAAAGCTAGGTAAAATTTATTTCTTTAAAATGGTACTGGTTCTTGATATGCATGTTGGTCAATTCCAGATCAAATGTTTCAAGACATAATTTGTCCTATATACACATCAAAAGAAATCACCTGTGACAAAATTTTGGCACATTCTGCCATTGTAGACAATTCCCGTTTCTGTGATGCTGCATCAAATCTGGCCAACAGTCTGTTTTCTAGTTCTGTGTGTATATGACACCGAAGGTAATCGCCATTCGATTTCCAAAAAAATTTAAAGGTAAAAGAAGATAGAATGCAACACCAGGCAACTCATCTCCAAATGAAATTGCTATTAAACAAGAACTTCTTACATGAAGTATTGAACATACAGGCACAAATATAATGGTAAGTAGTAATTGCTAACACACCACCAAGAGAATATAGAAAAAAATATTTAAACATGGAATCTTGGACGATTCAATTAAGATTTATGGTTGTGATAAGGAGACTTGATAATTTTTAATGTTCAAAGCAGCACTGAGACTAGAATAGAACAAGAATGAGACAAAGGTATTGAAACTTTTCATGACATCATTATTTTTATTCTAGCACATATCTTAGTAGGGGGTAGTCTGGCGGGAATCCAACCCCAGATGCATCTCTGTAATCTTCTAGATGAACATTACATTCTTCAATCAGAAAGAAAACTGGCAACTCTGTACACATGAACAAACTTATGCATAAAACGCAAAAGTAAACAATGTGAACTACTAAAGAGCTCAGTTCACATATCTATGCGATCTTATAAAGACTAGAATCACATTTCAGCTAAGAACACATTCCAACCTCATCTATAGTTGGCTGAACTCTAGTCAGGTTACAAACCTTTTCAGGAGAATATATATCTTCATGAAAGGTTTAAATACAAGGGTCCTCAGAAGTGGTGAAAGAAACATTTCAATGAAGACAGTCAAAGGCCGATGATTAATCAATGCTTTATAGTTAAACAGTACTTGTAAAAGCTAATCAATAGAATAAGAGAGATATCACACCATTGCAATATTCTTGGAGATTAGCAACTGCCACTTCCAAACCTCTGCTTGCGGTTGCATTCCCAATAGAGACTGCAAGGCCTTGTCTCCCAATATCTTCTTCGGCAAATGTTCCTACAAATAAAGCTTGTTGGTGAACCTATCTACAACATTGTAATAATATAATCTGAGTTGGGTATTTGCAAGATAGATAAAGAACAAAAAATAGGACAAAAAACTTTAACTTTTCAGCTGTTAAAAAAACTTGTCAAGATGACAAGTTTGACCTTATGTTTGACCTAAGCTCCTAATTAAATGGAATTATTCACAGTATCAAAATGAAGTCAAAAGAACTACGACAAAAGCTTCAGTGCAATGCCTATCTTACAGGCTGCACAAAGCTGAGTTTTATATTTTTAAGTTCATATATTTTCTGCGATTCCGCAGCTGAAAAAGTGAAAAAGTTTGTTGAGCTTGAAGAATGTTTAAGCATGTAAATATACAAGATGATAATCGTGATAAGATCTTGCAGAACATATAAATTTCAAAACTCTTAACAGTTTTCAAACAGACATCTATATTAATGTACTACATATATATGTACATATATATTTGAATTAACTGAATCGTTTTTTCTAAAGCTCTTTCTCTCAGAAACCAACTAGCAAAAGAATATGGGCATACCGCATACTTATATACTCAATAACCAAGACAGGGTTAGACAACATCAGTTGAAACATATGGTTTCTCAAGAACTGCATATCACAATGAAAACCTACAACAATACATGACTTTGCAAGAGATTATGCTAGAGTTTTATGGATAACATAAAGTTATCAATAGTGACAACCTATGGCTATGTAAATCAGAATTGACCCACCCTTCGAAGATGTGAAATAATAGAAGTCAAAACCAATACTAATTAAACTGAGATCTTCCAACTTCCAATGTACAATATCACAACAAACAATTGCTGTGAACATGCAACAAAATTTAATAACGTGCCAAGGATTGTGTTCATTTGAGAGAGTATATATATATATATATATATATATATATATATTACAATTTCCAAAAGAAATGGACATCTTACTCAATTTTTGGGCAATTGAAGCTGCTTCGGCTACCCGACTATCATCAGAGAATAAAGGCGAAAGTTCCATCAAGTCACCCGGACTGCTATTGAACTCCATCAAGTACTGCAGGATAAAATTTATATTGTCTTACTCAGAGGGAAGATAACATGGCTAATGACATTACAAAAACACAAACTAAAAAATGTTAAGACCCATCAATTAAAACTACACCTTAATGAGATCGATAGTTTGGGTGGCAGTTTCTCGCTGGGCATCAGCACTCTGAAAAATGGAAATGGCTAAATCAGCAAAGCGGTAATTTGATATTGCATCAGGGAAATAAGCAAGTTGAAGGAGCACTGTATTAGCTTGAAACTGAAAATCTGGCAAAAACAAAAGACACTTGATCTAGAACCTTCTGTATAAACCCACCTGCAGATGGTCTCCTATCTTAGCAGCAGTTTGACCAACACTTGATATACGTGAATCCAACCTTGCGAAACTGTCAAACAAGCCATCAACACCTTTTTCCAACTGCATATTATATGGAAAACATAACCAACATGTCCTTGAGATCATAAAATAGATTATGAAAAAAGAAATTCTGATTAATGAATAAGACATTCATCAAGTTAACTAAAAGGTTATTATCTGCAAAGCCCAGCAGTCTAACCTCAGAAAGTGTTTTCCGGTGCTTAGAATCTTGGGAAGCAACTTCCTTTTTGAGATTGTTGAGCTTCCCATCGATCTGTGAGCATACATCGACATTAGAAAGATAAATCAAAATTAACAAAAAATCTGATAAACTCAACAAAAACGGAGAGTTTACCTGCTTCCTAAGATCAATCAACTGCATACACGAATTCTTAAACAAAGATAACAATGCATCTACTTCAGGAAACAATGGACTTGATGATAACCCTTGAGCCCATTTTCCAGCATCAGAGCCAGTTCGCAAATGACCATTTGCCATCGAGTCATTACCATGTCCGTCGGAAGTGTCTGTTTCTTCTTCCAAATAAGAAGGCAGCAGCTTATTAACTAAACTTCCAAAGAGTGCATCGAAAGAAAAGTCACCCTGCATGATACGAGTATGTCACGGCCAATAAATTAACTAGCTTCAAGTGTAAATCAATTAGTCCTTCACTATCAGACACTTCAAAACACATTTGATGCATCACCTTAAAGTCATCAATGTCTAGAACAAGCGGATAGGAGTCCATTGATGGAGTTTTAGGTAGCCTATCCGTCCTCGTCCCACCTTTAGTCTCTTTCATCTGAGTTAGCACCAAAATACACTATCATCACATAAGTTGGGTGCCAAAATCTAAATAGGAAATGGCCAATTCACATCATGTTAACGAAGTCCAATATGTATAGCACTTCACTGGGGTTGGTGACAAGCATATGAACTCAAGACCAGTAAGAATCTCCAATCTCATAAAGTAGTAAGTTCTAAACTTCAAGCCACATTGAATCTTTTGGAAGTGGGTCTGATGCCCACACACTTGATGGCAAAAGAGTGTTATGATTGATTACCAATTACTGTGAATGTATTATGTAAAGTTCATTCTCATCCTTGGCAACTCAAAACAGTGTCCAATAATGATATATATGAAGGTTACTCGATGTCTATGCATCAAAACCCAACTATAACCTCATCATGCTTCTTAGATTCATATTAATGGACTATCAGCAGATTAAACAAAAAAGAAAGGCTGTACAATAGCATTAATATGGTGTCAAGATTGTGTCCAGATAATAAGAAACGGTTAACTGGTCAGCTGCTCATGTTTTGGCAAAACGAATGTTAAGTAATTTAGAGTGTTTGCATTGATCTCACTAGATCATCAAGCAATGAGGTTCATCCAATCTGCCCTTAACTGCAGTGGCTAAAACCTTTTCAGGAAAGTACCAGAAAAACCACCAATGCGATGCCCATGGAAAGATAATGGAAAAATATAGGATGCAAATTCATGGCACCTATTACGATTTCAATAATTCGATGTAGACAGCTGAACTTAAACGGCTAGGGTTCTGAAATTTGAAGAACCTGATGAAAATTGGCAGATGACCAAGAGGTGGGTGGAACTAGATACTAGGGAGTATCGATCGCAGCTGGGGCACGGCGTCGGAGAACGGAGACGCGGCGGCGCCGGGCAGTGAACTGTAGAATGGAGAGATGCGGGAGAACAGTGCAGATGCGGTGGGCCTGGAAGAGGAGAGTAGGTATGGAGCAGTGATGGGGTTGATCCGCGGCCGGTGGCGTCCTAGAGAGGCGAGATGCGGGCGGTGATGGAGTTTGATGACTTCGGCGACGGTGGTAAATTTTCATACGAACAAGGATACATGGCGAGATGATTTTGGTGCTGGTGGTTGGGCAACTCTAATTTGCGCTTTACTCTTTTTTGGTTTTCTCGCAAAAACGTGTACAGCCAAATGAAAAGCACGATTTATACCATTGGTTTTTAATTGGACGTTTGAACCGGATCCTTTAGAGCATGTTTGGATACAAAATTTCTCAAAAAAATCTAAATATTTTTAATTCAACCATTTTTTTTAACTCAACTTTAACTCAACCTCACTATCATCAATATTATTAATATAATTAATAATATCAATCAATCATTCTTACACACCACCTTACCTTAATTCACTATTCATCCATTCACATAATTTTAACTAACCATCACTTCAAATTTTCTCTCTCCTACTTTACATCAAATCAACTTTAATTATTTTATTTTAAATATTATTTTAATATACCCACTAACAACTAACCATACCAACTTTTTCAAAATTAACCAAACCAAACAAAAAAATCCAAACAAAACCAAAATTTTTTATATCCAATTAGATTTTTTTTTATACTCTTTTCTCTTTTTAAACAAACCAAATATTGGACCAAATCCCTAATTCGCGAGGAGCCTCTCGGATTTTCTCCCCTCCTGTCTAACGAGATGGGGACTTCGTCTGACTCCTCAATGTTGGAAGTAATATGTAGTTAAGGGTGTGATTGTTTATTAATAAACTCAATCCATACTCAATTTTAACTAATATCCACTATACTCAATATTATTAATATAATTAAATTAATATTAATCAATAATTCTTACACATCACATCCCCTCTATATATAATTTCATAATTTCTATATATAATTTCAGAATGTGCTGAGCCTACGTGGCAAACTCTAATGCTTCGGAATCCTATTTGACAAAAAACCATGCTTTGAAGTTAGGCTTGAATATAAATTAATATTTGTATTAATTGTATTTTAATATCATTTTCTATTATAACCATTAAATTGCAAACATATATTTTAAAAGTTGATACCTTTTGTATTTCTTATCGGTTGTATATATATAATATATCAAATTAATCATCTTTTGATGAACTTCGATTTGACATCAATATTGTATATATAAAATAAATAAATTATATTTATTTTTATAATAATAATAAAAATTTTATTAAAATTAATTAGAAAATATAATTATTTAGCATTTAATATATTTATGTTTAATGTAGTTATATGCTATAAGGTAGAAAATTTATTATAATATAACACATATAAGTAGCAGAAGTAACACGTGTCATACTAAAATATATAAAAATATATACTCCCTCCTATTTTTATTATTTGTCACTTTGGCTTAATTGATCGTTGATAAAATAAATATCGTTTTAGATATTTTATTCATATTTTTTCATTTTTAACTCTCCATCTAATACACAGTGTCTCTTCATATCACATCTCCATCGTTTCTCATATTTTTTCATTTTTTACTATTTATTTATTTATATATATAAAATACAAAACAGTAATATATATCCTTATAAATAAAATTTAAATTTATTTTATCAAACTAAATTAAATTATATCAAATAAAACTATAAATTATATTATAAAGTAATAAAAATTGGTATGTATTCTTTTAAAAATGATATTTATTTTCAATCTAATTGGTATGTTGTCAATATAATAAAAATAAATAATTATTTATATAAATTCTAAAATTACATATAAAGTTAAAAAACTGTGAAGCACGATTGATACGACACTTGATGTATTAGACATCTAATAAGTAAAAAAATTAATCTATTTTGCTTAATATTAAATAAACATATTCTACACTTATGCATATACATATCACCATATTATTTCTATTTATTTAAGATATATATTTTTGTACATATGTAATAGTAAATAATATCGATATTTTTATATGATATAAGTAAAAAAATTCAACACGGGTTGACATTTTCATTTAATGTACAAGTGTTTAATTATTATGATTAAAAAAATATAATTTGACAATTTAATTAAAACCAAAAGTAATGTTTTATATAAAATTAAATTATTTTAGTTTTTAACAAAATAAAAAATTTAGTATTTTTTATAAAAGCTTTCTAATTAAACACCCGTGTAATACACGGGTATTGTACTAGTTAACTTTAATTCACTATTCGTCTACTCAATCACTTCATATCATATCTCCTACTTTTACAATAGATAAACTTTAATTGTTTTATTTTATATATTATTTCAATATAATTTTTAAAATTTCAATAACTGATTATGCTACATTTTCTAAAATTAACTCNTTCACTGTCTCGACCAGTGGTTGAACAGGTATTTAATTATTAGTATTTTTAAACATATATATAATATTGTATATAATAAAATTTATATATAAAAATTTTGTTCATTAAATATTGAGACAATTTAAAACATTCAAATACTTAAACTAACTAATAGTAACTTATATATCTATTATATTTAAATATTTATTTTTCATTTATTTTTTTTATTTCACTAACAAAAAAAAAGAAAAAAAAAACAGTTGAAAGTTGGAAGATAAGTGCATTTTCTTTTATTATGTAAAAACCCATAATGTTTTTTCATATTTCATGTTCATTTAGTTAAATTTAATTATTTATCAATTTAAGATAATAATAAATTTAATTAATGATAACATGATATTCATCTTGACATGATAAAACGTTTGGCATACATACTACATAGTGAAAGTGTGTTAAAGCAAGGATCATTTAGTCCCACATCGATTGTGAAAGCAAACGAAGGCAAAAAGTAGCTATAAAAGGTTGGGAGCTTGAGACAATCCCACATCTAGGGGTGTTCACGGTCCGGATTGGTCCGGTTTTAGCCCAAACCATGACCAAACCGGACCTAACGGTTAATCTTTTTCTTGTCCATAACCGGACTGGTTTTATTTTTTAACCGACCACAATCTGGACCGCATTGGATGGTCCGGTTTGGTGATTAACTGGTTAAATTTAAAATCCTTATTTTGGGGCCTTCAATTTTCATTTTTTTCATTTTGGGCTTAATTTTTATTTTTCAATTTTGGGCCCGAATATTTTTATTTTTCAATTTTCGTCCCAAAAGAGATTATTTGGGCCCAAAAAATTAAGAAAAACAACAATAATGAAATAAAAAATACACAATTCGTCCCATAAGCATAAAAATACACATTTCGTCTCATAAACATAAAAATACAAAAATGATGAAGATTAAATTATGCAAACTGAACCCAAACAAACATTCATTTTTCAGTCAGTTTATACACCTGAAATAATAAGAGCAAAACATTCATAGTGAATGTATTGTATTTGTCGGCCATAGTGAATGACTGAATGTATATATATTTGTTGTAGTTTTTTAATATTTACCGGTCTGGCCCGGTTAAACCGGCGGTTTGCCGCAGGTAATCCGTTAACCGGACCGGTTATTCCGAATTTTTAAAAAAATTAACCACCGGATTTTATAAAGCTTTTTTAACTGACCATTTAATCGATCCGCGGTCCGGATTGACGGTTTTTTTCGGTTAAAACCGGACCGTGAACACCCCTACCCACATCGATTACAAACGCAAAAATAAAGGCCAAAAGTTGCTGTAAAAGGTTGGGAGCTTAGTAATTTGATTTACAATTATCCCACATCAAATGAGAGTCAAATAAAAAGCATGGAATGACTATAAACAATGCAGCAACTTTAATTAATAATTAATTATTTGTTTCTCCAATTCAAAGTCCAAGTTACAGAGAACTGATCACTCGCGCGAACCGCTATCGATTTTTCAGTTTTCCCGGTTTTGAACTAGTTCAAGCGGGTTGTGACCGTTTTTGAGTTATGACAGTTTAATAACTCAAACCGGACCGGAATATGGAGTTGTTCACGGTTGAAACGGTTGAACCAGCTGGTCCGGTCCGGTTTACAGAACCATGATTTTTACAAAAAAATAAAAAATAAATTAATCACAACTCAAATCTAACTTAAATTTAACCCAACACTACTATCCTCAATCTCATCAATATAATTATATAATATCAATCAATTCTCTTTACACATCACATCAATTTTAATTGGCAAAATTGCATATAATATCACGACCTTTATCGAGATTGCAAATTAATCACGACTTTTCGACTTTTGCACAGCATATCACGACCTTCATTTTCTTGCAAAACGATACACGGCCCTCATCACATGTTCAAAAAAATCTGACGTGGCGATCAAAAATACACCTCAATTGCTGAGTTGTATTTACCATCCGATTTTTTTTTCCACCTCACCACGAGACGACGTCGTTTCGTCTGGCGTGGTAAATCATTTTTTTTTTCCACCTCATCACGAAACGACGTCTCATTCAATTACATTTTAAAATCAAAATCAGATTCTTTTTAGAACCCTAATTTGACGAGCGAAGGAAGAATCCTAGAAATGCTCTGAGGAAGAACAATAGAAGAAATTGGGACGGTTGCTCTGTTAAGAAGACAACTTCGACACTATGTCGACTGATTCCAACTCATATAGGAGGACAAGTTCGGCAGCAACATTCCCGACTTCAGCAATTCCGAAATTAACATGTTGACATTTAGAAGAGCCCGATCTTCTCACCTCTCATACTGATCTGAATCCGGCTAGGAGGTACTACCGGTGCAAATATCGAATGGTAAGTGAAGTGTAAAATATATCTTGTATTTTCTGAGGATTCACATAAGGATGGAGGTCTTGTAATTTGTTCGTAAATATAGCTTGTAATTTGTTTTTGTGTGTTTTATGTTGGGAATCAAACAAGAATGGGATTCTTATTGATGAAAAAAATTTTGTTAGTTTGTATGTTGTAAATCAGACAAGAATGGGGGTCTTATTGTTAGCTAGGAGTTACTACCTGTTTTTTTTAGGAGATGAAAGCTAGGAGATCAAAGCTAGATATACTGTTTTTTGCACATTCAAGCAGCTCGTATTTCTGTTGAAGTTAATATATCTGCACATTTATGTTTTTCTTACAGAATTTTGAAGTGTGTGTTGAAGTTCATATTCTTGTTCATTGCACATTACAGGATGATGATTGTAAAATTTTTCGTTGGTTTGATCCCGAGCTCCCACCCTTCCAGAAAACTAGTTATTTGAAGCTGAAAAGTCAAGTTCAAGTGTTGGAGGAACAATTGAAATGCAAAATGGTGATGGAGAAACTTTTGTCTGAAAGATTAGAAGTGAAAGCCAATGAGTTGGATCTGTTGAAAATGGAAAATGCTGAACTTCAGAAAAGAATTGCAACAGAGAAAAAATCTGACAAGAAGTGGCTGATTTTAGTCATTATGTTTTTGTTAGCCATGTGGTTCTTTGGTGTGTCTAATGAGAAGAAGTTAATGCTTAGGTAGCTTTGAACAAGGATATTATGTTTGTTTTTATATGTTGTTCAATGTTGTTGAGAAGATGGTAATATTTAGCTATCTTTGTTGTTGTCTTTTGTAGCTTTGTATGCTTAGCTAGACAAAGCTGGTTTATGTAGTGTTTGTTTGTACCAAGAACAAGGTTCTATTTGCAATGAGCTAAGTTTATATATGATTTTGGTTGTTCAAAGTTAGTGTGGTTTTGTTTGCAATAAGCAAGATTTTCATTGTTCAATGAACATTATTTGTTGAATAAAACATCATGATCCATTATACATCATTGTTCAGTGATCTAATTTCTGGAGTAAGTATTATCTGTAACACCATATAGAACATGACCATCCCATAATACAATCAAACATAAGAACATAAACAAACACTATCAATATGAAGCAATTTTGATCCATTATGTTGCAAAAGTAGGCCAAATTACAAACATAATGTCTGAACAACCACAACCACTAGCACATGTCCACAACCATGAATTTCTTCACATCCACATGTCCACAAAAACATAAACTAATACCCAAAAAATTTGTTCACATCAACATGTCCATAAACACATTAATCAACACAACCTTTTCACTACAAAAGAAACACATGAACTTGTTCACAACCACATGTCCACAACAAAATGTTTGTCACTTTTTGGCAACACTTTCTTGAGTTCCTATAGCTCCCACAGCTTCCAATTCCTTGTTCTGAGATTTCTTTTGAATTCTTTTTTGTCTAAGCACCTGTCATTGAAATTTCAAACATACTTATCAAAATATTTCAGACAATAGAAAATGAAAGACAATTAATTAGAAATGAATGCATCAAAGTACCAATGCTTTCTTTTTCCTAGCTACAAGGGCATGGGAAGTTACACCAGACTGTTCCCTTTCCTCTGTGCATTCTCTCATGTTCTTTGGTCTACCTCTAGGCCTCTGAAATTAACAAGTTCATAAAATTTCAAAAAAATTTGAAAACTATATAATGTCAAACAGAAAAAAAAATAATTAAATTTAACTGTTACCTTAGCAATGGATTCACTTCCACCTGCCCCTGTGCTTTCTCTAATCATCCTTGGCCTACCTCTAGGTCTCTGAAATTGACAGGTTTGTTCACAAATTCAGATACTATAAAAACATATAATACCTAAAAACAAAATATACCTTAGCAGGTTTTGGAGCTGGGTCATTGGTGCAAGTCTTCTTGTTGTGGCCAACTTGGAAACATTTTTGGCATGTCATTTGCAAGCCAAACCTCTTCAGCCTTGAGCTTGTCTTAGCCTCTTCTTCAGGTGCTTTTTTTCTATTGATCTTGGGCCTACCTGGCATTCTTCTGAATGGTGGGGGCTTGATAGGATTCCCTGGAGCCTCTGGCCACATTCTCTTCCCATTAAGGGGCTCCATGGGGAATGAGTATGATGCAATAAGCCTTTCACAACTATATACAGGGGATACAAAATCTGTGGCATCCTTTTTCAACCAGTGAATAGCTGAGCATGCATGGACACAAGGTATACCACTTATGTCCCATTGCCTACATGTGCAACTCCTATCTCCCAAATCAACAACAAATTGGTCTTCAAATTCTGTGACCTGGTATTTGTTTCCTAGAGCAGGTTTGGTGACACACAACCTAATTTTGTACTTAGTTTCCTCTAGTTTTTTTCTGATCCTAGGGCAAATTGTATCACTGAGACTACTTCTCATATTCAGTTTATGAACTTGTCTTTCCATCACATAGGTTCTTATCATTTCAAGCATTTCAACAATAGGCTTTTTCCTAGCCCTAACAATGGTGCTATTGAAGGTCTCACATACATTATTTAGCACCATGTCACATTTAGGATGTACTGAGATTAAGGCCTTACAAAATTTGAAATTGTCTTGCTCAGTGAACTTGTTGTGTGCTTCTGGACACTCAGCTTTCATCTCCTCCAGTGATTCCTTATATGCAGCAAGGAATGTGCAATGGACAGTCCTCCAAAAGATGTTTTTCAGTGTCTGACCCTTGTGTTCTTTCTTCCAGTTCATATAAATGTGTCTAGCACAATTCCTATGCTCTGGCACTGGTGCCAAATCCTTTACTGCATTAATCAGCCCCTACAATCCATTTGAACAAGGTAAAAGTTACATAACTTTCATATTTCAGGAATGAAAAATATAAATTATGTATTATATTAGGTAGTTACCTTTTGCTGGTCACTAATAAAGGTCCAACCCAGTCCATCCCTGATTCCAAACTCTTCAAACAAAATATTCAAGAACCACTTCCAATTTGCCTCATTTTCAGAATCAACCACTGCCCATGCAATGGGATAAATCTGGTTGTTTGCATCCTTCCCCACAGCAGTCAACAAACACCCTCCAATCACAGTCTTCAAAAAAGCTCCATCTAAACCAACTATTGGTCTGCACCCATTTAAAAACCCCTTTTTTAATGCACTAAATCCCACAAAAAAGCCTTTGAACACAGTACCTTCATCAAGTAGAAATTCAAACCGACCCTCTCTGTCAACTCTCAGTAGCTCAGCAAGATAACTCCTCAGACATGAATAATGCTCCTCTTCTGTGCCTCTCAACATTTGTAGTGCTTTGTACTTGCCTCTGTACAGCTTCCACTTGGATGGTTGCACAACATACTTCTCAAGTATCATCTCTTCAAGGTCTCCAATCTTCATTTTTGGTTTTCTCCTGAATGCCTGAAGGTATTCCTTTGCAATCCATTTTGCAGATGCTTGTCTGGTTCTCATGTCCCTAGAGCACTTGTGATCTGAAATTAATGTTTTGATGGCTACTCTCCCTTCTGCCTTTACAGTGCCAGCATACAACTTCCAAGGACATGAGTCTACACACTTTGCCTCAATCTGATTAGGAGTTTGTCTCCATATCTGGATATTGTGACCATTATATATGGAATACTCTTGAATAGCATGCCTAATTTGAGTGACTGACTCAAACCTCATACCAAGTTCAAACTTGAATTGCTTATGGTCAACCTTGGCATCATACATTATCATATTTCTCTTCTTCTTCCTATGACTGACATCATCATCTCCACTAAACCCTCCTGAGCTTGAAGAATCAGAAGAAACCTCTTCTGCTGAGTCTGCATAATCAGAATGATCTTCCCTCAGAGACTGGAAGTCACTTTCATTTGTGGAACCACACCCCTTTTCCGAAGATAATGTGAAATTTTCAGTTTCTTCATCTGCAACTTTTTTGGATTCAGCTCTTTTTCTCCTTGCTTCAAAGTATTCTTCATCATCAGTTCCTAATTCATCTCCACCCAGTCCATCTGATTCTGAACTTTCTTCTTCTGGAACATACTCCTCATCTGTGCTGTCCTCATGAAAATTATCAATAAACTGGTCCAACTCTTCTCCACTAAGTTGACCAAGTGCATCTAATTCACAACTTTCTATTTCATCTAAACTGAGACCATCTGATTCAGAACTTTCTTCTACAATATACTCCTCATCTGTGCTATCCTCACAAACATTATCATCAGCTGCTTGTTGCACATCTGCTATGCCTTTTTGCTTATCATCACCTTTACTTTCATTTGTGGAACCAGAATCAACATATATTTGAACATAATGCTTGCCAGGTTCCATCATAGAAAGCATTTCCATGACATCCTCATCATTGTGCATGTGAACATACTTTCTACTGTTGTTAGCCCTAAAATATAGTTTCTCTCCTTTAGTGTACCCTAATTTTTGAACTTCTTCTAATAAATCAAAATAACCAAATCTATCTTTGTCAAATCCATATCTTGAAGTGACCTCTTCTCCATAATACTCAAAATCATTGCCAACCTTTACAAACTGCCCACAGTGGTTTATAAAAAGCATCAAGTCACAACTGTATATATATAACAATATAATTACTAAATTAGGTTAATGCAAATCAGGTATAAGTATATGTAAACATAATTACACCATTATATAATCCTAATTATGTGCTACTTAACAAATCTCGAAACCGTAAACAGTGAATACTTATAAATCACTGCATATATTGAGAAGATTAATGCAAAAGCAGGTTTAAGTACATATAAACATAATTAAACCAATATATATTCCTAATTATGGGATAATTAAGAAAACCCTAACCCTAAACCCAAAAAAACCCTTATTTTTCAAAACAACTAACCTAATTTATCGACAATAGAAGAAAAAAAATAGTTTACGATCCTACCTGTTCGCCATTTTTGCAGCATCAAGTCGTCGGCTGAGCACAACGAGAATAAGATAATCAGGTTGCCGGAAATTGTGCTTGAAGAAAGAATTGCGATTTTTCACTGAGAGCGCAGAGAGAATCGAGGAACACCAAAGGACTTAGGGTTCTAAAAAGAATCTGATTTTGATTTTAAAATGTAATTGAATGAGAAACGACGTCGTTTCGTGATGAGGTGGAAAAAAAAAACGATTTACCACGCCAGACGAAACGACGTCGTCTCGTGGTGAGGTGGAAAAAAAAAATCGGATGGTAAATACAACTCAGCAATTGAGGTGTATTTTTGTTCGCCACGTCAGATTTTTTTGAACATGTGATGAGGGCCGTGTATCGTTTTGCAAGAAAATGAAGGTCGTGATATGCTGTGCAAAAGTCGAAAAGTCGTGATATTATATGCAATTTTGCCATTTTAATTCACTATTCATCCACTTACATAATTCTAACTACCCACCACTTTCAATCACATCTCGCCTACGTTTACATTAAATCAATTTTAGTCATTTAATGTTAGATATTATTTACAAACTCAAAATCTCAATCAAATAAAACTCAACCAACTTTTTCAAAATTAACATTGGCTAACTAGAAAAACCAATCAAATCCAAAGTATCAAATCTAAAATTTATATTATGTTGTATATTAGTATAAGTACTTGTATTTTGAAGAATAGTAAAAAAAAAAAAAATCGATCCTTGAACAAACTAGAACAAAATTACAATAAATAAACAAAGTCGTTGCACGTAAAACTTGCTCTCCCAAGACGAAATTGTCGCCAATTAATCTCACGATTTTCAAGAAACATCTTAAAAAAAAAAAACAAAATATCTTATATATAGTGACCCTTCAAATAAAAAAGAGTTCAGTGAAACTACTTGTGCATGGATCTCTCAAGAAATTGACAAAGAATATGAACATAGGATACTTATTAAATCTTACATTCTAACAATATTATATTATCTTCGTATTTAATGAATCAAGTGTATATGAAGATTTTATTCTAGGGTTATGCATAAGTATTGGGAAGATTCACCATGAGTTTCAAGTTAGAAAACAACTTTTTAGATGAGTCTGGACGAAAACAAATGCAACCGGCCAAGCCGAAAACTTTTGGTAGCCAATAGGTGCGACCAGAGTTGAGCTCGTGGGGGGCGTCGTGCCCCAAAGAACCTGGATCGTCACTCCGTAACGAGTGTAGAGAATGGTTCCTAATGAAATAACTAAGAACGGATAATAGTAATAAGATGTAATACATACAAAGGCAAGGAGTCACGATTACACAATGATAAAGGGGGATGTTTTACTCACCCCTGTACAACGTCGCGGTCACGTCCAGGGCTCTTAGTTTGTATACTAAAAGCTCGACTTTATTTACAAACATCACTTTTTAGATCATTCTTTAATGAGAATCATGTTTAGTCAAAAAATGTTTGTTATTTTATTTTACATTGTAGATAATATGGTTCGTTGTGTCGAACTGAAAATCATGTTATTGGTTCCTTATAAATATAAAGTACTATTCACAACCTAGATAGAATCGAACACACTATCGTGAAAAGTGGTAGTGTAATTTTGAATTAGTTTATCTTGGCTAATGAATTACATTAGTATATCTTAGATGCATTGAATGGACCATGGAGTAAATAATCTAGGCATTAGTTATTGCTCGTACTCTTAAGCTGTAAGATAATGCATGGTCGTGTGCATTTAATATCTAGTACTTTAATTTACGAAAAGGTGATATCCAATTACTGGACAATAGACTAGGTGATTGGGTAACAATATTAAATGCATATTGTTTTGTTGAGATTATTTAGGTAACTTTGTCTTCATGCGCTAGGTTGATAACGTCGTCGAAATGTAAAATAAAGAAACTATGTTCGCATAAATAAATAAACTTCAAGTATACGCTTGACTAAAACATGATCTTTTGTTCAAAATGGTATTTTAAAAAATTGAAAATTAAGCTTTTACGGTATACCCTAACAAGGGGAAGAATGGTGTTTGATTTGAATTTGATGGCAAAGATTGGTACGCTGAGGATGGTCGCTCATGCGTTCAAGCACCGAAGTAGTGTTTAAGACGAATTCCGCACCCGATCAAGCATGACGCTCTCCAATGTCTTGGTGGGGCATATACACAAAGAAAACAACTTATAAAGAAGAGTAATGCTACAAAGCCCACTAGGGTTACAACTTGGATTACAACTCAGGTGTAAATGCATTAATTTTTTAATTTCTTGATAATGCATTTATACTTGGGTAGTAATCCAAATTGTCACCCAAGTTGGCTAAATAGCATTACTCTATAAAGAAAGAATTCCATTTTCTCATTCCCCAACATTACTCGACACAACAAAATATCACCCTTTCCTCCAAAAGAATACAAAAAAGGTGATTCAATACAAGATAGGGGATTGCATGTACTCCTCTGTTTGGCTCTTGTAATGAAAATAAAAAACTAAAAAATAATTAAAAGAAGACAAAAACCAGGTCGAATCACGCATTACCCTATCTTTCCTTGAATCACCACATTCAACATTACACCACCAACCTTCTTCACACAAATCAACAAAGCACCTCTAAATCACGTAAAACCGCAAAAAATAAAGGCTAAACCTAATTAATTACCCTTGCCAGGCTGTCACCAACCATCACCCGGACCCACTCCTCTTGGGCAGCTGGAACGTCCTCTTCAAAAACTGATCCGCCGCCCTATCATCCCTATGACACAGCACCCTGAGTATCGTGTTCGGATCCGACCTATTCCACCTCCCCGTTGTCGGCGGCATAGGCAGCTTCCTCCCCATCCCCATTCCCACCACCCCTATCCCGCTCGCCTCGCACGCCGCTATGCTGAAATCCTCCACCAGCTGCTCGGTCGGCTGCCCCATGAGCCCCACCACTCCCGCCACCGTCTCCCCTTCCCTCTGCACCTCCTCTTCCCCGATCATCCCTTCTCCAGCAAAAACTCTCTTCATCTCCTCAAAGTCCTCCTCCACCACCGCGTGGTCCGACCTCGAGAACACCCTCGAGCACCCGCCCGCCAGCAGGACCATCAGGTACGCCTCGAACGCCGCCCTCATCACCTCCTTCAGGGCCATCGCCTGGACCCGATCCGTCACGATCGCGCACAGCAGCTTCAGATTCTGTTTCAATACTCCGAGGGCGGATGTTATGCGGGGGGACACTGCGTACAGGCTGGCGTAGAAAAAAGTGTTGCAGTCGAGGAAGATTAGGCGGTAGGCGGCGACCTCCGAGACGTAGTGGGAGGCGGAGCGGAGGGCGGATCGGCTGTGCTCGAAGTAGGAGCTGCCGAGCTGGCGGCGGTTGCCGAAGCGGGATTTGGGCGGGGTGATTTTGGGGGTGAGGGAGAGGGTTTTGTCGAGGGAGTGGATCTGGGAGAGGAGGTAGTGGAGGGTGTTGAGTCGGATGTACAGGCGCTGGGTCCCGCGGCTGGTGGAGGGGCGGGTGGAGGGTTGGCCGTCTGGGTTGGGGTCGACGTGGATGCCGCCGGAATTGCAGGCGGCTCGCCGCCAGAGCTTTAAGAACTTGGAGTCACGGCCGCAGCGTGTTAAGGGAGGGAGGGTCGGGAGGTAACTCTGTTTTGATCCTGAAAAGAAAAAAAAAAAAAGATTGATTATGATCGAGTTTTCTTGGGAAATGAGTCCGTAAATTGAAAATTTTAGTCAAAATTGCCGGATTTTAAATTGGGGAATTTTTTGTATCTCCGGCCGTGTGTCATACCAGCAATTATATATTTGGAGAAGCCTTAATTTATATTTGAGTTCACATGAGACATGTTTGTCTTTAAGTCTGATTGGTGAAAGAGATGATGTAGTCTTACCACATGATGCAACAAAGGTGATGTAGTCTCCAAAGAGGTGCTCCAGACCATCGGTGAGGTCATAAACTAAATTCTCAGACACATTGACTGGGATTTCGAAGAAATTCTGCACAGCTTCCTTGGCAAATTTGACGAGTTCCGCAGCCGAATGAGCGTATGGCTCTGTTTTAGACTTGGGATTCCATGTCTGCAAATGGAAAAAAAAAAAAAAAACAACTTAATACCCATTTCACCAAACTTATAATTCTGTTATATCAATATTCAGAAGTTTATATATATATATACTTAAGACTGCCTGTAGAAGAAATTATGGTTTGTTGAGTAGATGAGAAATATGTTTCTAATCAGAAGTATGAAGTGAAAACTAGCTACATATAGAAACCATTGGTTGAAGAAACCACTGAAAAGTTCTTTTTGAGCTATGTACGAGAAAACATATGTAGACATTTCTTGTTTCAACCAAAAGCTAGCAATCACCTAAAGATTCCCATAACACATGTTTATGCATTAAAAATCTTCCTTACTTCTGTCTCTTTCACCCTCTGTAGATACTCCTTCCCCGTCTTCAACCTCTCCTGAATCCACTGCTTCAGCATCTTGAGTATAATCGTGTCCACCTCATACGGAACCATCTCACGCACAACCGATTTGCCACCATCCTCACACTCAACCGAGTCCTCCACCACCATTTGCACCAGGGCCTTCTCCAGCTTCCCTGCCCTCTGCAGCACCAAGATTGTCTCGTTCATGAGTGGCGATGAAGAAGACATGCCCGTCAAATACTGCTTGAGAAGAGTCCCATAGCAAGAGTGCAGAGTCACGGCGGCAACTCCAGCTGCCACCGGGTGCCATTTTTTCAGCAAAGGGCTAAAGATGTCCTTTTCTTTGGAAGCCAGCTCTTCCGTCTCGCGGGCGAGTTTTATCAGCACCTCACTCACTCTTTGGGTCTCAATGTTTTCACTTTCTTTGACGTTTTGATCCTCGAGCATCTTGATATAGGCAACATGGATGACAACGTGAATGTTATTTATAATTATACTGATTTATAATTGGGACAAATGGATGCAAAAAGGGACAGACAAAAGAGTGCTTATTGTAATTCAAGGGAAAAAAAACAGAACTAAGAATCAGACATTTATGTGCTGAGGGGTAGTTTTGTGGCTTAAGCCTAAGTAACTATGAGAATAATGTTGAAAACGCACAAATTTTCTTTGATACTCCTCTTTTAAGGAAACTTGTAGAAATGTGACAATTTCACTTTGTGTTGGCAAAACTCTGACATTTGGTCGAAATAGTAGTCAGTATTCCTGTTTTAAAAATGATATCGACATTTTGTTAACACAAAGACAAAACGTGGCACATAGGGAAATCTCTCTTTCGCGTTTTCTATTACCATGACCAAACCAAAAAGCAACAACACACGAACCTTAGCGAACGTGTTCCTCGCAGACGAGCGGATGTAATAATCGATCCTATTATCGCTCAAATCGTCCCCATTGATAATACCACCCTCAGGCGATGTCACATAGCAAGGCACGTCCTCCCTCAATATTTTGCCACACGAGAACACCAGTGGAAGCATGTGTTCCATAACACCCACATTCCCCCTCTCGAAATTCCCGTGATAGTCCAACAACCTCTTTTCCAACCACACCTTAATGGCTGCCACCACAGAACCCAACATCTTAACATAAACGGCCTCTCTATCAGCCCTCTTGGCATCTGCTGCCACCTCATGGGACAGCATCACAGCTGCTGCCCCAAGCAGGTCGGGCTCAGCTTGCCCTGTGACAACATACTGCTCAAAGAGCACCCACGCGAAGCACAAGTTGTGCACTGGCCGGCTGATCCCGAGCATGGACCACGTCTTCTTCATGAGCTCGATCAGCTCGTCCACCTCGTCAAGGACCTGCGTCTCGTCCTTGGAGTCGAAAACCGAGCGTAGTAACGCATTGTAGAGTTCAATGTTGAGTGGGTACCCGTCGGCCCAGTGGCAGATGTCTGTGGGCCCGCCATCCGGGGTGCGCCAGGACAGGGAGACCACAGCGTTGCAGAGGGCGCGCATGGCCTCGGAGTTCTTTCCAGTGTCAACTGGCCGGGCCTCAGCAGCCCGGATGATCTGGTGGAGCCGGGCGGCGGAAGGGTCGGAGGCGTGGAGTGGGACGGAGGGGTGGAGGAGGAGGCCCGTCTCGAGGAGTTTGAGCTGGCGCAGCTGCCACTGGTGGTACTCGGTGGTGTCGTTGAACTCGGAAGGTTTCAGGTGGCGGAGTAGCTCTAGGGGGAGGATGATGGTCTCGGCTCGCCTGCCCATCTGATATTCATATAATATCATAACAAAATATAAATATATATATATATATATTCTCCTTTAATTTCAACAATACATACAATTTGAGCAATATATCAATCAAAATAACATTTATTCAAAAATCTTCATTCTTGTAAAATTAAGGCAAAACTGTGTTTTTAGTCGGTTGGTTCTAACGCCATAGCAATTTTAGTCTCAAAATTCTCACTTTCCGACTTTTGGTCTTATGATTTAATATTTTGCTGCAATTTCAGTCCTCAAAAAGACTGAAATTGCAACAAATTTCTAAATTTGTAGATTTTTTATTATTAAGTCAAGTTCTATAATTTAAAACTCTTTGTTGCCAAAGACTGAAATTACAGGACCAAAAGGCAAATTGTTAGAATCTCGAGATTAAAAATGCTATAACGTTAAATCAGAAGCACTAAAAATGCAATTTAGCCTAAAATTAATTAATCTGATCTTCTCATACAAATCCACATGCTTGCAATCAAACAAAAAATGACGATGATCGTACTTGGCCGACGAGGGTCCTCATCAGCGTCTTCCTCAGCCGGTTGTCACTCTGCTCCGTCACCTCCATCTGCTGCCTCATGATCTCCGCCGACGTCAGCGGGCGCCTCATCCTCCCTGCCCCGGGCACCGTGTGGCCCCCTCCACCTGCCTTGGGGCTCGACGACTTGCCAGCACCAACATTGTTGGGCCCACACAAGCTGAACCGTCTCGATGGCTGGGGCCGCCTCAGCATCTTGAGCCCAAGAGCACGTTTCACGCGGCTTGTCACGGCCATCCCCACCCCGGGCGGCTTCATCCCTGAACCGAGGCCAGATCCAAACCCGTCCCCTTGCTCGTCCGGCCCGTAGCATGCGATCATGCTACGGCCACCGAACCCCGGGGAAGAGCGGCAGGCCGTGAAGAAGACCTCGTACGCGGCCTCGCGGAAGTCGTCGGGCCCAAGTCCGTCGAGCTTGCCGAACGGCGAGGCGAGGTGGCCGGCCGGGTTGTGATTGTGATTGGTGTTGGATGTGTGGGCCATCGTGGGTGGGGCGGAGGGGTCACTTTCCCGGCGGGGGGATGAGGGAGATTTTTGTTGGGGGAAGAAGAACAACGTTATTATACGTTAGTTAGGGGGAGAGAGAGAGAGAGAGAGGGAATGATAGGTGATGGTTCTGTTATGTGTTTGGTATCATGGTATGTGAATTGGGGTGAAACGCGAAGAACAAGGGAAAGGCTACAATCATCTTCAAAGCAACATGCTTAATACAATTTTGAATTTTTAATTATTTTTCTTTTTGTAAATCTGTTGTGAAAGATTTATATTGATGGTGGAGAATTCTTGTTTGATTTTTGCTTAAACCACATGTTTTTCTATCTAAATGGATATGTACCCCAGGTTCTTAGGAATATACGTGTCCCAGTTGGCTCTTCCAGTTTATAGCTAGAAAAAGGCTCCACATAATCCGGATTATATAACTTAATCGTTTCTTGTCACATCGATCCATCAAATGACTTCCTTCTTTTTTTTCTTCTTCTTCTTCTTTCTTATGTTCATAAAATGTTATGCTATATTATAATTGCATATCTACATGAACCTTCAATTAACGCTAGATTTTGAGATTTTGTTGCCTATATAGCAACACATATCTAAATCGGACGCATACTTAACAATTATGCGAAATACTTTTGCATATTTTGTAATATCATATTTAAATCCACCGCAAAATTTATAATATGCGAAACAATTTCACATATTTAGTTATCACATATCTAAATTGAATGTCGCATATTTTATGTTCATACGATATTTTTCGCACAGTTTACGACTCACATTTCTAAATCTTTAACGTCTTATAACTAATGATTATGCGTATTATGATTGCATATTCACCAATCGCATATTCAAATCGAAAGCCGCACAATTTACGATTATCTGCCATTTTTTCGCAGATCCATAACATGAATCGCATAACTGCCAAAAATGTTTCGAATGTTATTCTCATAATTAAGCATCACATTGATTGACTAATTTCTTTTCAACGTAAGATTAGACACACAAGATGTGGATTTTTTTGTCAGATATCTTATGAGTCAATACTTTATTTTTTCTAGCTTGCATTTATTCTTCTTCTATCTGCCTGCATTTACTACCATTTAAGCCTTTCCTTCTTTTTGTCCAAACCATTTAAGGTCCCATATCTATACGGGGAAAAATGAAGAGATGATTAAGAAACTTGAAAAAGATATGATGAAGACCTTTTAGATGACCGATCTTCGAAAAATGAGTTATTTTCTCGACATTAAGGTAACTCAAGAAAAAAAGGGGACAATTATCTCACAAAGGAAATATACAGATGGAAAGTAATATACCCGTGGCTACTCCCATGGTTGTGAACCAGAAATATAGCAAAGACGACGGTACGCCGAATACAGATGCATCCACATACCGAAGCCTGATTGAAAGTCTACTACATCTAACGACCACAAGACCAGATATCTTGTACGCGACATGTCTACTTTCGTGGTTCATGCAAAGTTCGAGTCAAGATCACTATGGAGTCACGAAAAGAATACTACAATATTTACAGGGTACTAAAGACAACGGAATCCAGTACAAATATAATGAAAACTCAAGACTGACAGGCTACACGGACAGTGACTGAGGTTGATCAGCTGACGACATGAAAACCACCTCAGGATACACAATTTCACTTGGCTCAGGAACATTCTCGTGGTCATCTAAAAAGCAAGAGTGTGTGGCACAATCTTTTGTAGAAACTGAGTACTTCGCAGCAATATTAACGGCCAGTCAAGCTATTTGACTAAGGCATATTCTTGGATACATGGGAGAACACTAAGAAAATCCTACAGAGATTTACTGCGGCAACAAATCAACAATAACAATGGCAAAAAATCCCGTACATCATAACAGGACAAAATACATTGCTATCAAATATCATTTTCTACGAGTAGCAAGTAACGACAAGCAATTAGAACTCAAGTATGTTACCTCAAAGAACCAACTAGTGGATTTCTTCACGAATGCACTACCAAGACCAAGATTCGAGAACCTTCGTGAAAAGCTCGAAGTTATCCTAATGAGCACCAAGGGGGAGTGTTGAGTTGATGCCCACTTTCTAAAAAATTCTACATAAAAGTCACATATATTCTTAGTAGTTTCCAGAAATAAAATTATGTAGTTTACTTAAGTATGGATGAATGGATGAAAAGCATACACGTAGCAATAACATTGAGGTGTAAAAATTGTCTGGACGTCATTACACGGCCTTAGTGGTTCGATAAATAGGCCTCACTTGATAAATTTTAAGGAATGACTACAGTTTCGTTAGAGACTCATTCCGTCAGTATTTTTAGCCGTAGATTATCTACACTACAAAAATCTACATGTGTATAAATGATTTCGTAGGAATATAGTCATTCCCTAAATTTTACTATAACAAAGTAACAAAACAAACAGAAATAAAAGTGCTATACATTGAAAAGCTTGCCTCTCACACATTACAAATTCTATGAACTATCCTGGTAAAATATTCCTATTCATCTATATTTGTTACTCACACTCACAAATCATAATCATTTTATTCCACATACCAACAATTTCCTATATGAATAATATAAAAATTATATTGTTACATAAATCAGACCTTAAAATTCTTTTTTGTTTTTCAATTAAAAAGAAAAAGGTAATGTCATATAGAACGGAAGAAATATATCGATAAAGTTATTTGTGGACGTAGCGCACAATTTCTACAGAGGTTTTTCCGGGATCCAATGTGGCATCGAGGGGCTGAAATGCGTGGATACGACCCGTGAGTCGAGAAGATCCGCCATTTCCTTGGACCTAACACACCTGGGCACCTTGTACTGACTAAGGGAAGCTCCCCTCGAGATGGCGTGCTCCATCAACTCATCGAAGCTCCCCTTCCTCACTACTCTGATCTCCAACGGCCCAATTGATCTATCTGCAGCCCGCATCATACGGTACACCCAATTGAACGACTCCTCCACCCCCAGGCAGCACTTGGCCAACACATCCCCACAGGCTTGGCTCCCCTTCTCTTGCAGCTCCCAGTACACAATGTAGTGCCCCGGGGAGACTGTATTGTCCGTGCGGCTCGTGTAGTCTACCAAGCCCGTCCCACACTCCATAGCTAAAACCGCTGCAGCTACCTCCACTGCTGCCTGCAGCTCGGCCTCATCCACCTTCTCCCCGTTAACGCTCGAGAGCACGCTCTTCCGCCCGATGAAAACGAACTGCGGGGCCCGATTATGGAACCCAGATACCCGCAGGACGTCACCCATTCGGTACCGGTAGAGACCCGTCCGCGTCGTGACCACCACCTCGTACTCCTTTCCGAGCTCGACGTTGACCAGGTCAATGGGCCCCTCTCCTCCTCGGCCGTGCGGAAGGAACTCAAAGTAGGCCATGTGAGGCATCAGGGTGTAGGACGACGCCTCGGGAGGGGTACGCAGCGGGTTGAGGTTGATCCCGAAGAAGCACTCGGAGGACACATATATGGTGCTTGCGATAGGGAGCCCACCGCTGTAGTGGTTGAGTGCCGGGATGTACTGGGCCATGGGTCCCGTGGCTATCACGTCCAGGTACTTTACATTCGGCCAGATGCGGGCGATGATCCCTTTCCAATTACTGCATGCGCACTCGCGGGTTATGAGGTCGGCCAGGTCCGGGTCGGGTCTCATTGTGCGGGCCAAGGCCTGACGGGTCGAGGCATGAGTGAGATTGGGGTCAACAGAGCCGGCACGGATGTTTTGGGCGAGTTGTTGCCAGTTGAGCTCGAGGAACTTGATGACTAGGAGTAGGGTGGAGGCAAAGGAGGCCCCGATTGAGAGGACTTGTTCGCGTTCGTAAAGGCCGCATAACAGTTGGGCATAGGTGCTTTGGTGGGTGTCGAGGCAGAGGATGGCCTCGTTTGGGCTGGTGTAGGCGCTGTAAGGGAAGGATTGTCGGGCGGTGAAGGTGCCACTCTTGTACAAACTCGTGATTGCTGACCGAGCGGGGATCCCTCCTTGGGTAGTCAATTCGGGCCTTGCGTATGTGAAGTAAAGCACTTTGCCTTCTGTGAGTCCCTTGACGTACCTATCACAACAAAAAAATTGGTATATAATATATTCTAATGGAAATTTCAACAGGTATTCCAATGGTATAATACCGTTGGAATCATTCCAACAAAAATATTCCATTAGAATGAGTTATACATTGGAATTTTAGATAGAATTTTATGATTTCAACGGCTATTATTCCAATGGATTTTTAAGATAGGAATTTCAGTTGGAGTATGCAATTTCGTTGGATTTTTATTTCCACCCCGTTGGAAAATCTACCGTTGGAATCGTCAAAATCCAACAAAAATTTTAATTAAAGACTCATTCCAATGGAATATTTTTGTTGGAATTCCCGTTGGAATCCATTGAAAAATTCCAACGAAAATAATAACATTGGAATATCCATTGGAGTTACCGTTGGAATTTCATTGAAATATATTTCCGTCAGAACTTTTCATTGAATTTCAACATTTTTTTTTTTGTAGTGTAATAATAAAAGCAAGTCGAATAAAAATACCTATTTTGGCGAAGGTGCATGCTTGTTTTCTTGTTTAATTTTTTTTGGGTACGATTTTCTTGTTTAATTTTTAATTAATTTTAATATTAATTGTGTTGGTTTATAAATGTAGTTGCAATATAATAATAAAATTTAATTTATATATTTAAATCGGTTAACTCTTGTTGAACAGCATACTTATAGGATAGGTTGTTCCATATGATTGTTGGTAGTATATTTTAAACGTTAGCTCAACTTATTTCATCATCCTTTTTATAAATATTTATATCTATATCTATATATATATATATAATAAGAATAACTATTTACTAAAAATAATAGTAAAAGATTTTGGAAACATTTAATGTATACCTATTTTTGGAAACTTTTTAAATATATGCATTAATTGTTTTTATATACATGTTTTGAAATAAGATCAAAACAGAAATGATTAAAAATATTATTTTCTTAAAAATTTTTACTAATATCTGCAATAATTTCATTGATATACATAATAAATTACAGTGATTCATGTTGATAATATTTTGATCAAGATAAATATTACAACATATTTTAAGTTCTAACAATAACATTAACTTTTTTTCACAAATATTTTTATCCAAAAATATTTATAAAAAATCGTAACAGGTTTTAGGTAGAATTTTTTATTCCAATAATCAGGCGAAATCAAGTTGGTGAATTAATCTTTGCCAATGTAATTATTTCTTAAGCTTTATTTCGTTATATATAAAAAATAAATTATTCTTCAAATTAATATAATTTTCCATTACATTAAATAGTTTTACTAATGATAAAAAATTAAAATTAAAATATATGAATTGTCCTTTAGAATTTATTTGTATATTATTGGCAATCAAGATTATTTTTTTATCATTTTTTTTATTTTGATTTCTTTCTATAATGAAATTCTTCTAAAATATATTTTCATTGCAGAGTATGCTAAATAAACTACAAATCCTTATAATGAAAATTAAAAAAAATTTAGTTATAGAAGAGATTGAGTTTTTGGCATGTGTTATATCAAAGTTGTTTAATTTGTATACAAAATTAAATTCTGAAAAAATATGTGTGTATATTGTGTAAAATATTTATAAACTAAATAATTTTAAATTTATTTACATATTTTAAATTGATTACATAAATAAATAATACTAACATGCATTAAATATTTTTCATTACATAAAATAAAAAGAAAAAGAAGGGGTACAACTTCTATAAATTTTATAAATAATAATGATATTATATGAAAACAAAGTTTATAATAAAATAATAATTAAGTATTATATGGTGAACAAGAATAAGCAAAATTGTTATTTTCCCTTATATCAAGGAATAAATATATATACTATAATTAAATTTATATTAGTATAAATGTGATAATGAGATAATATATTAATTATTTTACAAGATAGCCCTAACATACTTATACTTAATGTTCTGGCTAAAAACAATGCCGATTAAAGTAGAAAATAGATTATAACTTTATTGTTTTTTTAGACTTAACGCTGATTAAAAGAGGTGAAAAGTAGATGATAATTCTGTTGCTTTTTAGACTTAAACGGACAGAGCCTGTGAAAATAACTCATTTAATATCTCTGTCTCATGCATCGCATGGGGTACGTACTAGTATATATAATAAGAATAACCATTTACTAAAAATAGTAGCAAAGAAATATGTCAGAATTTAATATTACCCATAAATAATAAGTTTTATTATTTTTCTTATTTTTTTTAAAAAAATCATACAACATTAAATGTTACCTTAAATTTCAGGCTTTAGTTCATTTTATTATTTAAAAAATCTAGCTAAGATCTATTAAGTGTGCATGTCTTTAGTTTTTTTTTTTTTCTTAAAAACAACGGACAACATTAAAATCTCGGTCTCTATATTTATGAAATCTCAATTCAAAATATAATAAAGAGTTTAGAATCTCAGTCTTTATATTTGAACTTCTAAAAAAAAAAATATTGAACGCTAAAATTAATAATCTTTAAATTGTATAATCAATCAATTAATCTTAATTTTTTAAAAATTACTATGTTTATTTTTTTAATAACATGCATAAAGTAAAAATAATTAATTTATCTTTAGATATATAATTTATAATCTTAATATACTATCATTGAGTGTAGATATTTATTATATGAATCATAATTTTTATTATCATAAAATTAAATATATTTTCAAAAACAAGGAAATTTTCTTTGGATCAATCGGGTGATTGAATTAGGGTACTGCGCAAGTTGATTAAATTACTTTTAGGTGATATTTAAAATAGTAAAAAAACATGACACAATTTGGTTGGTCCCAGGTGACTAAGTTATGTATCAGTTTGACCAGACCCAATCGATTATTGAACCTAAATATAAATTTTAATATTGAAAATACTTTGTTACATGAATGAGATGTAGTCCAAACTTAAAATAATCATATTAACAATATTTTTATGACGACATGTTTAATGATTTATGAATATTTATATATCATTTTATTATTATTTATGTTAATAAAATAATATTTTATTAAAATTTTTATTAATGTACAGTGAATATAAGGTTTTCATACCCGGACCATCATCGAAACGATCATGTTATTTTATTAAATCATTTGTGCTTTGTTCAGATTTTAATTTATAAATATTTTAATATATATATATATGTGTATATATATATATATAGTACTTTTTGTAATAAATTTAAATAAAAGGTGTTACTTAATCAAAACAATTTATAAATTCAAATGTTTAAACTAATTGATAAATAATTTATAAATCTCCATTTTATTTAAACATGTAATTTTATTTAAAATAATTTTAAATGTAACAAAATTTATTTAGAAAATCGTATCGATCCTACCAGTTCAACCGACTGGTGTTGACGGATTCGATAACAAATATTTTATTCAAGCGACCTAGACTGGTTATAAACTGGTTCTCGGTCCATCCGGTCGGACTGTGTCAACCCGATTTAATTTAAAAACAATGGCCACACACTAGTGTATATAATTCTAGGCCCTTCTTTTTTGGTTAATTATGGAAACAAATCCCTATATTATATATTTTATTAGATTTTTTTAACTATTCTCTTCGTATAATAGTTGGGAAAAATTTCAAAATTAGTCCCACAGGTATAGGGGGTGACAATTTTGGTCCCGACGGAATACAGAAAATATGAATAGTCCCACAACTTTTAAAAAATGATCAAAAGTAGGACTTTTTCGCCGGATTTACTATTTTCGGCCCGGAACGCCACGTGGTATCCGACGTGTTCATATTTTTTTACAAGTTGTGGGACTAGTTTTGAATTTTCTGCATTCCATTGGGACAAAAAATGTTACCCCTCTATACTTGTGGGACTAGTTTTGAATTTTTTCCTATCTACGTCGGATGGTAGCGTATAAAAGGTAAGCCACGTGTGCGCCACGTGGCGCATGGCGCTCCGGGCTGAAATAGTAAATCCGGTGAAAAAGTCCTACCTTTGATTATTTTTTAAAAGCTGTGGGACTATTCATATTTTGTGCATTCCGTCGGGACCAAAATTGTCACCCCCCTGTATCTGTGTGACTAATTTTGAAATTTTCCCTATAATAGTTAGTTACTATTAAAACTCACTCATTGTATTTCACACTAAATGACAGAAGTATAACATCAACTTTAATTCATTAATGTTTATTTATTGACCCACATAATTTTAATATTCATGATCATTTTATTGAGTCATCTGATGTTTTTATGTCAAATCAATATTAATTAGTTTTTTTAAATATTATAAACTCAACACCCAAACCTAATCTAACCAACATTTTCAAAATTAATATTAGTTAACTAAAAAAAACCAATCAGAACTCAATATATCCTGATGTTTCTTGAAATCTCTCTTCTAAGTACATAATTAGTGAAAGGTGCGTCCTCCAAGTTTCCATGTTGTATATATATGTATAAGAGTTCGACTTCTCCTATGCTATCATGCAGCGCAGGATAGATGATTTCAAATAAGCAATTCTGATCATTTGTTTTAAAAATCTTTCAAAATGCAAACGGCAAATAAATTTTAGGGTACATAACTATGTCCTTGTATGGACACTTACTGGTTCATAACAGGCGTAATAAGATCGACAAAGTGCATGCGACTATCCCTCTCTTCTTCAGTCGACGGTATGAGTTTGGGTACCCCGGCTGTTGTTCCCGAGCTATTCAAAGTAGAAAAAATCCAAAACAGGAAATTAAATTAAAAAGAAAAATTATGATAATATTTGTTTGTCATGGATATATATATATAATTGCTAACAGAACAATAAATAAAACATAATTAATAAAACCTTCATAATTTTTCCGCTCATTTTTTCAATTAATATAGAAACATTACATTTTATATATTAATAAAGTGTAATAACAATTTTAAATCAATTTATTATATAATATTACTACTAACACTAACTGATTATAATTTTACATTAAATAGTATGTGGAAGTTACATACTTATAAAAAATATGTATTGCAATTTTTTTTCTTTAAAATACTTTTTCTAAAATAAAATATTTTTCGTCTTTTTAAGCGATTTTTATCTAATATTAGTTAATTGGCATGAGTAATCATAATTAAACACCTTAAAATCACATAAACAATTGCTATAAAAAAGATAAAAATAATCATAATACTTTTCTAATTAATTAATTGTATGGTCCCTCTAAATTGCTAAATTATATTGTCCATTAAAATTTATGGCATCAATATAAAAATTCATACGTAAGTTAAATAATTTATATTTACATTACACATTTGCATATAGTCAAAATTTAAAATGTAATACATCCATTATCTAATAAAAATTTTATATATTATATACATACATATAATATATGAATTTTTATTTTTCTTTGTGCATGTGCACAAGATGAATACTAGTTTACGATTATAGTCACCTGAAAATAAATTCAGTGATGGGTTGAGCACATAAAATTGGGGAAGGATCTCCGTTGGCTATTTTCCGAATCAATAGCCGGATATCCTCGTAAGTGACTATCGGGACCTTAGATTTAAAGGTCTCGCGATCAGTGGCCCCATCGACACCCAAGCCTTTGAGATATTCGGTCTCCGCATTTTGTGTTAGGATTTGAGACAACACATTTTGCTGGACTTCTTCAGCATCTCGGGTCATGTCTTCTATGAGTTGAAGATTTGGAGGACCCATCAAGGACAAAGAAGAAGAAAAAGAAGAAATAGAATTAGTAGCCATTTAAGTAGAAATTGTATATATGCGTCGTTAGCTAGTAGAAAATTGTATGCAGCCGTGATTATATTATGGTTGTATATATAGTGGCTCGAGATCATAGTGGCATGCCATGTTGTCTATAATATATTAATTTGGAGGCTATTTGAAATGGTAAATTTGTTGAGTTGATCTGGTCACAGAATAAGATCTTCAACTTTCTGAAATATATATATATATACCTTATGAATTGAATATTTCAATGTTTGTGTCTCGGTGTTCATTTACATCCCTAGGGCTGAAAAATGGATTTCAAAATTACCAAATTGTTTGGAAAAGGCGAACTAAAACTTAAAAAATAAAAACCTTGAATGATTGGCATAATTTCAATTGAATCAAATTAAAAAATAATTGGTATTGTTTTGTAGCTTTCGCGTATATCCATATCGAGAAACGGTAACTTTAAATGTCTATTATCCTTTGATTTTATATCAATTTTTCTTAGGTTATTTGAATATTTTCAAAATATTTAATAAATATTAATAGAAATTTAATTAAACAAATTTAATGTTTTTAAAAGTTAGTATTACATTCAATATTTTTCTTTATTCCATCTTATATTTTGAAATAGACATTCAAATTATGAAAGTAATATTTTCAAAAATTATATATATTCATTAGGACTTCAAGTTTTCATCACCACGTTTTTTAATATTAATTATAACTAAATCGATATTCATTCATTTTTTTTTCTATGGTTAATTTCAAAACAAATAAATTATTTGGAAATTAAAAAGTATATGACCGCGTGTTGCAGCGCGGCAAATTAGAATTTATATTTTTTTTTCGCAACTAACCTTCACTAACTAATAGTAGCGGAGAGTAATGGTCGATCTCACGACGAGTAGGAACTAAATTGTGACTATTCTGGTATTAATCGAATGAAAACTAAGAAAATAATAAATGGGGGATTTTGATTTTATAAAAATAAAAATAAAAAATCAAATAAATGAGTTAAAAATCTAATTTTCAGTTCAGTTATCACCTAATCTAAATCTAACATTAGTTAAATTTGACACTTTTTCTAAATTGCTAATAAATTACCTATCTTAACTAACAATAAGCTCTGTTAACTAGATTTTTCTTTGCCGAATACTAAATCGAAATAAGCTCTTCGACTAAACCTAACTAGTGGACAACCTAGAATAAGCTCTTAAGATTTAATACACTAGCAGCATTAAATCTAAGGAAAATAGATTCGTCTAAGCAACGGACGCGAAAACGCGGACCATTTAACTTATGTTCAAGGTACCAAAGAGATGACGACCCCTCGTTTACTACTAACGAAACAAGAACAATAACAATTACGGATTAAAGTCTCGTCTCTTGCAAATAAATAAATATTAAACGTACTTGGCCAAACTAAATAAAAAATTTATAATTCATAAACAATAAAAATGGATAGCATGAATTAACTCTGTTTTTTTTTTTTTGCCAAAGGTTTTTCAACTCCAAAAATTATTCTCCCACCTCATTATTTTATTATTTACGATTACGAGACATAAAACACCGACTTTTAACATCAAGTCACTAAATATGACCAACATTGATCAAAATAATCACAAATACATATCAACAACACAATTTGATTAAAAATCAACTCACCATCAGTAAATAAAAAAATATCAACAATCATGTTCTTGATTCCAATTTAAAAACATTTAATAATATTTAACCGAATATAATTAACTAAAATCATTTAAACTAGTACAATATATTTTACCAACACTCATATTATCATCGTAGAATTCCACATACAAATAAGACATAGTCATACAAATCATGAGCATCTCTAGCAACCCAATTCCATCTAAACTAGTACAATAATTCCCACTTACATTTAGCCCAATTACATTGCAAAATTCTAGGCCCAAGAAAGAAGAATGAGTAGCCTCAATTACATCACGTGGCAAAGGGTGGCGCTCAATTATACTACACTTTGTGGGCCTTAATTGGCCTAATATTGAGGCATCCAATAATCGGCCTCAGACTCTCGCCCCGATGTTTAATGGAAAATCTGTAGTAAAATAATGTTACTGAAAACACAACAAAAAATGTTAAAGTATATGAATCTATTCAAATAATAAATAAGTTAAAAAATATAAACATGCGAATAAATTAAGTGTATAAATATACACTATTAAATATATAAAATTGCACATTTTGGACCTATCAGTATATCAATCTTTCATTATAAATAGATACTAGTACGAACACCCATGTACAATATATGTGTTTAAAATGAATTGTATCGTGAAAAAATGAATACATTTAAAAGCATTTATATTATTATTAAGAAATAATAAAAATAAGTGTACAACAAATGAATAGCTTGTAGAGAGATAAATATTTAAAATGAGACAAATTTTATACCCTAAAATTTTATAAACTAATAATTATTTTAGTTACATTTATAATGTTATATGTCTAACAGAAAAATTATTTTCAAATATGTGTTGACATTGAAACTGAAAAGTGTAATCCATACAAGACACGTGGCACAATCAACATCCACCCGACCTCAAGGAGAGAATGATGGACATGCCATTCAGCTCGACATCAAAGGGAATAACCTACAGTACTTAAAGAACCGAGTTTGGAGATCAATTTATATCCTTCAGAACCCGACCTCTGCAAGCGCATTAATGGCAGACGGGACGCATGTCCATCATACTGTCGAAAGGTGATCATTAGGGGTGGACCCTCCCTTGTCAAGCAGCATGCACCATGAAATCGCATTTAATGCTACTCTACAAACATCGTTAAAAGTGTCCGTGGTTTTTGCACTATAAATACTCCCTCATTGTTGTAATAACGGACACAAAATTATTTTCTTTCTAAAAACTGTTCATAAGCACAGCATCAGAGCTGGTTTAATATATAACAAACACAGTCATCCGACCTCATTTAAATTGGTTCTCTTGTTTTTACCTATGGAAGATTCCCCACTAGTTGAGTTATATTTCATACGTCAATAGATTAACGCTGTAGGAAGGGCTCCATAATTTGTTTGCAGCGATCTCGGTCGGCATTTACATAAAAAAAGAAACACTAGAAAAATATCATCTTGGAGCCACGATGATCAAGAGCTTTCTGGGGTCGAAAAGAACCATGAGGTGGCCCCAAGCATCGACTTCACCTTGTTATTCCAGATTCCTAAATTTCTCAAAGGTTTCTCGAGCCTCTTGGCACAAACACTCCCAACGACGTCAGCTATCCCAAAAAAACCACTAAAAAGGAAGTACACTTGACACAACGCAAAAGCAAGGAATCGGTTCAATTGCAGAATACTTCACGAGGAAGAGCCAGTTGGAGCCTACTTCGAATACGAAATCCACATACCCATCAGTATTTCAACGGTTATAAAGGCCGAAAGCCAAACCCAACCTAAGAGAAAAGCTTTTAAGAAGCAGATCAACGAGGCACGATTCCGTCGAAGTCACAGACCGAAAGAAGAAAATTTCTTAGCTAAAGGGTTGGCAAAAAAATAGCCTATAGAAAGTCCACACCACTGCCATTAGTCGTGATCAGCTCAGTGGTCGACTCGACCTCACAATTGGAGCCAGAAATATTGCTTTATCCCTTCCCCAAGAAGATGAAAATTCTCCAAGAAGGGTTATACGATGGTAGCTTAGATCACGACGCTCACCTCGGCCACTACATCTCGTGGATGGATCTCCACGGGGCTGAGGATGCCCTCAGATGTTGGATATTATCGCTCACATTAGGCCCTAAGGTGCAAAGGTGGTACCATTCACTTCGCCATCATTATATCTGAAGGTGGAAGCATTCAAGGACGACTTTTTGATCTCACTTAATTAGGTCCCAAATTTTCATGATCCCCAAAGAATTGTACCAACATCGTGCAAGGGGACGAGGAGAGTTTGAAGAACTATATTGCTTTGTTCAATGATCGTGTACGAAACATTAACCCATGCCACCAACAAACTCTGTTAGTATCGGCCTTCTCAGGACTGAAGCCAAACTTCATGTTCAAGTGGTCGTTGTGCCAGAATAAACACCTTACATACCAAAAATTCTTATCCCGAGCACAACAACATGTGATCGCAAGAAGAGCTTCGGACCAACTATCAGAGTGTGTACTCGGCTGGCGCAACAACCGTATACAAGGAAAACAAAGGGATCATTCCCAAGCCAAACCAGTCTTAACCAATGAGGATCAACTCGATAAATCATGATAATGTGCATACCATAAATCCATCGAGCATAACACCCCCTATTGTTATAGTTTGATCTCTACCCTTCTAAAACTAATTGGTGATCCGTAAGTGAAAAAGTTTATGAGAAAACCTTGAGGTATGATGAGGCTGAGAAGATGACGACCCGGACGATGAAGAGGACGGGGATACAGAGGTCAACCAGAAAAGGTTGATAAGGCCCCCACCGGAGATCCTAAACTTTAGTTGGGGTAAGCAAGAAGCAAGCTCCTCCCAGGATAGATAGAGCGCACGAGACTCGTCACCCCAGGTGAAACCCCGAACAGACCGACCAAAATCCAGGAGGACCTCACCGATCTGCCTTGTGAACACCAGCCGAAGAGGGCCAACCGTTTCTCAAAGATAGGTGACGTCCTACACCAGAAGGGCGTATAATGCGTCACAGCAGATTAGAAGCTTGGGTCCAAAATCGACCACCAGGTCGAAAAAAACCCGATTACCTTTTTTAATGAGGATCACAAGCCATTTGATCATCCCCACTCAGACGAGATGGTCTTGACGGTGTCGATCTGTCACATACTGGTGCATAAAATCTTGGTGGATACGAGGGCCTACGCAAGTGTTTTGTAGCTTAACACCTCCAAGAAGATGCGGATCGATCCGAAGGAAATCCTATCCTACTATGACAAAACCCAGGGGTTCGATGGTCAGGTCACCATACTCGAAGGAGAGATATGTTGGAGTATAAAAGCTCGGCTTTGTGTTACTCAACAATATCATTTTGAATGA